GAAAGACGCTCTGCGTCCATGCCCAACGAGCGAGAAGTCGCTGCGACGAACCGACGTCACGTTCCTAGACCACGCCCTTCTCGACGGCATCAGACCAGCAGCTCCAGCTCCAGCAGCGACGACCGGATGCAGCGTGAACGTGGTGGCATTGAACGAGGCCAGGAGGCCACCGAGGAGGCTTCATCGCAACTCAGCTATTGGTACTTGATCAAGCACGGGTACACCGAGCTGGTACATCTGATCATCCGGCCGCCACGTACAGATTACGACCTCGAGGATCTAGGACCGGACGAGTTCTCCTTTGTAGGACGGTCTTTTGTTCGAGAAGACTTTACTGTGGTGAACGATCGTAGACAGAAGCTCGTGTGCTCGCATTGGAGACCAGCGACTCCTCCAACAACGCAGTTGCTGCCATGTGTTGTCTACTTACACGGCAATTCTTCGTGTCGGTTAGAAGCACTGGGAGTCCTGCGAACATGTTTGGCTGCTGGTCTTTCGGTTGCTGCGTTCGATACAGCTGGATGTGGCAAGTCTGATGGGGAATATATTTCTCTTGGATACTACGAACGTGACGACTTGAGAGATGTCGTAACGTATTTGCGAGCTAAAAAGAATATTGGAGCTGTTGCTTTATGGGGAAGGAGTATGGGAGCAGCCACAGCGTTGCTTCATGCGGATAGAGACCCGTCGATTGCAGGGATTGTCGTGGATAGCGCCTTTGCCAGTCTGGAACAGCTCGTGGAAGAAGTGGTGGAACGTGGACGACAGGAAGGATTGACATTACCGGGGTTTCTGGTGAAAATCGTGTTGAAATTTATCCGTTCGTCAGTTAAAAAGCGTGCACATTTTAACTTACGACGGCTGGCTCCGATTGATCACGCTCCGGTGTCGTTTGTACCGGCGCTTTTTGTTGCTGCGGAGCACGATTCGTTCATTGCACCGCATCACAGTGACCAGATCTTCGCAGCGTACGGCGGAGACAAGAATCTCGTAAAAGTAGACGGCGATCACAACAGTTCAAGGCCGCAATTTTTACTCGACTCGGCGGCTATTTTCCTGCAGACTGCATTGCAAGTGGATGCAGCGGCGACTGCGCAGTTGAGCTCTTTCGCTGATGGCATTACAGGAGGCGGAGGTCGTGTGCCTTGGGAAGGCGCTGTGGGGCGCACGTCGTCTCTCTCCATGTGCTCTTCACCTGCATCATCCTACCGCATGACGATGGATTTGGATGCAAGATACTCGGGCAAGAACTCGATGATGGTGCCGATGGAGCCGTGGTCTTGTCCTTCCTGCACATTTGTCAATCGGCCATTATCCATGCAGGTAAGACGCGTTATGATTTTTGTTGCGATGGTTCTTCAAAGTACTTATTATTTTTTGTTGGGTTTTGTTAGTGTGAAATGTGCCGGAATATCTACTTCCCTGATGATAATGATGATATTGAAGACGCTGGAGACGAAGAAGATGACGCTCTTAGTAGTGGAGCACGAAGACGGGCATTGACTACTGGTGTGAGACCTCCTCCAGCCCCCCAAGGTTCTCGGAGACGAACTCTAGAAGCACTACCGTCACCCAGTCCGTCATTCGTGTCATCGACGTCAGCACAGCGACCCGTTCACTCTGAGCGATCAGTAGGAGTGGCGACGGTAACTACAGCGGCGACGTCAGTATCTTCGCGGATGTCATCACCATAGGTCATAGGAAAAAAAAAGAGTCAAGTCTTGCAAGTTTTTGAGTAGATCCACGATCACCACCAAGCGACTACAAAGAAGTAAACAAGTTTGGATGAGAGCCAATG